CCCTTGTGGAAGCTCAATTGATTCACAGCGTGGGGCACGTATGCTGCCGCCTCCTTCAAGGATGACTTGTCGTGTTTCCCAACTTCATCTTAATAGAGCTCGAGGCAGCGACGGATCAGTTGATGCTTCCGCTCCACAACTCCAAGCCATGAATGTTGTTCAGCCGGTTGGAGTTCGAGGGTGATGCCACGTGAGCTTGCCCATTCTTTCACATGTTTTGATACCCAGCCTTTGGCCTCATCAATTCTCAGGATCTTGGGGATGCCAAAGTGCTTCAGCCAGCATCGTTCCAGTCCTTTAGTGAACTCTTCGGCCTTCTCGCTGTTGAGGATCCTGATGGCACAGTATCTTGTGGCATAATCAACCACGGTCAGCACGCAGCGGCGTCCTTGTGGGACTTTCTCTTCCTTCTCCTTCTCCCGCTTCCGTGCAGCTGGTGTGCCAGGGGCTGGAATAGCCGTCTTGACAGTCGAATCATCGTTCAGGATCCAGTGGGAGTCGACCTGAATGCGTTCATTGAACTCGGTGCACTTAAGAGCTGATGCAGGTGGTGGCTGCTTCGGTCCCTTACGAGCATAGCACAGAGGACATAGATACTTCTGAGCTGCCTCCAACACATCGTTGGTCGCCTGCACTTCCTTCAACATGCGCACCAGACAGAACCTCTGAACCATAATGACCAAGGTTCTTGTGCAAGCGTTGAACATATTCCACAGCTCGACCTCCAACTTTAGCTCGCAGCTCGCGATTGCTCCGGATGGGCTCTGATTCAACCAGGCGCCTCTCCATGCCTCCGCATAGTCGTCCACTGCCTGGATGTCATCCTGATTGTCCAGGTGAGCGATGATGGAATTGACAAGGGCGGTGGCAAAGGTCTGGGTGTAGTTCTCTGCCAAGGCCGTTCTTGCACCAAGACCAAGGGCGTAGCCCTCCAAGTGGGTGTGCCAGTGATCACCGCTGCACTCTTTCCACATGAGGTGGTGCACAATTGGACTTGTCGTTCTCAGACATGTGGGTTTCTGTACTGGGTTGATCGTCCCAGTGTCATCAGGCAGGACCAGGTCATACTCGCACATGTCGATGCGGGTGTCGTAGCCCTCCATACGGCAAAATGCCGGGGTATGCCAGCTTGTGGCACTCCAGGGATGCTCTACCATTCCCAGTCGCCCTTCCTTTCGCTGCTTCTCGTAGCTTACAGCGACGAAGGTGAGATGAATTTCATGGTTCTCCTTCTGCTTTGCCTCAAGGTTGGCGGCGTAGACTGGGCTTTTGGCTTTATTGAGCTCTTGCATCTGTGACCACAGCTTGCATACAGGGCTGTAGAGGATGGCATCGGGCTTTTCCTCTTCCTGCTTTTTGTAGAATGCCCGTCGGTGTGATGCCTTGGAGAAATCCCATCCATCTTCATGAGAAAATCTGGTTGCAATGCAGTTCACACGACGATTTGCCGTCTTAGTCACCTTACCTTCGCCAGCATAGACCTCCCAGATGGTGTAGGTCCGAGGAGGCGAGTAGTTCTCCAGGTCTTTTGCCCGGTAGATGTCCATATCCAATTCTTTCAGGGCGGTGACCGTCTCATAGTACAGCTTGTTCAGCTGTCCGGGATGTAGCTTGTCTAAATTCTCATCGTCCGGGGCGTGGTGCTGCTCTCCAGTCTTCTGTGCGTAACCGGTCTCCTTCTCGGGGATGTCAGCTTTCGCCTCCGGCACTGAATTCATCTCAACAATGCTGACCTCCGATGCCACATAGGCGTCAGCAGGAACTTGCAAAATGGAAGGAAGTGGCACTTGCTCAAAGATGTGTGTGTATCAAAGTCCTCAGGGATGAAGACCTGATCTGCCACTTTCTTCTCTTTCACCAAGTGGTGGTCCTCCACCAGGTGAACCAAAAACTCACCCTTCTTTCCCAGTGTCGCCGGCTCAAACTCAAAATTCTCGTCATAGGCGATGATCTTGGACCCATAGTTGATGGTGATGTTGAGACTTTCAAGGGCAAGTCGGCCCAAGAGACATGGAGTTGAGCCCTCCATGAGATACATCAGGATGTTTCGTCGTTTGTTCTTGAAGTACGTCGGCACCAGGACACAGAGGGTGGTGACATCTCTGTTGCCATTTCCAAACCTCAGACCCTTCTCGCACTTCCAAGCAGGCATTGTTGTGATGTCACACCCCTTCATCAGCAATGCTTTCATCAGGCGTCGAAACTGCTGCATGCCGATGATCACAGAAGCGGCTCCACAGTCAAACATGGCGGTGTCATCTGGTTCGGACTCGGTTCCATCCTCGTCGAAGATGTTCACTTCCTCGAAGTCATCGTCCTGAACCATGTGAATTTCGCTCTCCGACTCGTTCTCGGCCTTGCGCTTGTTCTGTGACTGAGCCGGGCAGTTTGCTGCCATGTGACCGGCACGTCCGCACCTGAGACACTTGATGGCTCCAAGGGCAACTTTTCCTCTTGCCTTTGCTGATGGAGGCTTCGGTCCCTGCTTGCTTTTTCCTTTGGACTTCCCTTTCTTGCCTTTTCCTTTGCCAGCACCGCCAGCGGGGATCATGGCGACGACGGGGTAGTATCCTCTGCTGACTCTCATTTAATTCAGCTTGGATCGGGCCTCGACATAGTTGGCCATGATGTCATCATACTCAGAGGCTGCGTCCATGGCCATGAGAATCTGCTCGTCGTTCCATCTCGTGATGGATTGAATCATCTTCAGTCCATGGTGACTGGCTCACAGAGTCTTCGGGTCCAACTTCCCAGGACTCCTCATCCTCAAAATAGGCGTCATCGGGCTCAGGCTCATAATTCCAGAAGTCCTCGTTCACCGTGTAGATCGAGTCCTTCATCTTATTGAGGCGATGGTCTCGGCCCCCTGCTGCGCCGTCAGGCGTCTGATCTTGCCGATGACAAAGTTCACGGCCTTGCGAACTGAATCCAAAGACAGTGTCGAGGTCGTGATGGTGCTCATGATCAACTGTCTTTGTTGTTGGGTCAGTCCGGCTCGTCTCAAGTAGTACCAGCCGATGACCTTCTCTGGCAGCTGAACCTCGTAAGCAGCCAGGCGACGGAGTTGGCGTTCGAAGTTGGCCGTGTACTCCTGCATCGTTTCATTTCGCTTCCCCTGCATCTGGATGAAGAAGTTCTCAAAGTCCTGAGGAAGCTCTATGATTGCATCGTACTTGAACACAGCGTCCAGTCGCTGCAAGATCTCCTTCATGGCACGGTCGCTCTCGAGCACGTCCATGGCGAGGTCCTCGCAAACGTCCCATGCTCGATTCTTGAGCGAGCTCATGATGTTGAAGGCTGTCTCGCTTTTCCTACCCGCAAGGTCCATCTTGCGTTCATAGAGCAAGACTTTTTTCCTGTACTCCTTGTAGTCATTTGATCTTCCGCTGAACTCAGGGATGAGTTCATGTGCTTTGCCGGGGTAGGATGATCCACCAGCTCCATTGGCCGCTCCAGCGGCCGCCGTTGAGGCTGTTGCCATAGGCGAAGTCCAGGATGTAGTCCAAGGGTTTGGGGCCGATGAGCAAACCAGAATGTCAAAGTCCGGAATCGTGTGGTAGAGCTCCGTTATCAACAACTGGTAACTAGGGTCGCGAACGAACTCGACCCACTATAGCGATCGCGGTCGAATGCCGACCGATCCGGCGACGTCGCGCCGGAGAAAGGATCGGCGCGCCACTTTGGCCTAACTCGAGGCCTAGCTCGAGTGTCCCGCCACTGCGGTAGGTAAATAAAACATGGTATGTCATGCTCAAGTGTTGGAACACTTCACAAATCCAATTGTTCAATAATATAGGATAAAATATTCATATATATATTTTTTTTTTTTGAAGCTAATTTGAATGGGTAATTTGAATGGGGAACCTGCTACAACAATGTTTGTATGTCATATGGCCTGCAATTTCCGAAAAAAGATCGAAAGGAGCATTTGGCGGTTTCTTAATTTTAACTATATTTAAGAAACTTAATATTCAAGGCCTTGCGGCCTAGCATTGCCTAAAAAGACATTAATACGTCTTGGCGGGATTAAATAATATGCCCGGGGAAAAATTATCCAAGATGCCTCATTATACATTTAATGCCCGGATTATGTTGCATAATCACCGAAAATATTGGGGGCGGTTAAGAATCAACAAATTAAAGGGTATTATTCTACCAGATAATCTAATATAAAATCATTAATGCCTAATCAATTTCAATCAATATCAAAAGCAAATCAAAAAGATTTAGCAATATATAATATATTCTTTAATTTTTCATTAAATTAAATATAATACATATTAATAAAAAGAATATAATTTATTTTATCGAAAAGAATACATAATTATATCAAAATTCCTCATCAATATCGATTTATATATAAAATACAACCTAAAAATAAAATAACAATAAAATAAATATATATTCACCATTATTTTAAATTTCTTAATATATCTTTTAATTATATCTTAATATTTAATAATTTATATTAAATTATATTCTATTTTTTTTAAAACAATTATTAAATATATAAATAATCATAATATTAATATTAAAATCAATTAATCTATTTATTAATATTATTTTAAAAAAATATATACTTAATTCAAAAAATATATATTCCAATATATTCCAATATAATATTAATATATTTACTAAAATATATTTCATAAATTCATATCTTTTTAGATTAATATTATCAATATATAGATAGATTATATATTTATTCAAAGACCTATTCAATTTTGAAAATTTGAAAACCATTCGATATTCATGTTATTTTATTAATATTTGATATATTATCGATAAAACAAGTAAATCATTCGAAGGTAAGGTTACCTTTCGTTAGGGAACAATATAAATTTTAGAGCCGTTGCAGTATTTGGCAGAATTCAAAACCGAAAGTGTTGTATTAAGATACGCTAGACCTGATGAGTTTATCAAGCTGCAAAGAACGCATTCATATTGTCATATTGCACAATGACATCGCACTGCGTGGGTAATAAGGAGGAAGGACTGGAGGAAGGCACACGTCGATCTTTTAACGTGCAGGAGTCAGTCACAATGCCAAGGCCGAGCGTCGTTGGTAGTGAGCTGTACATGCTCAAGGCACAACTGGCATGGCTTCTGGAGTCAAGGCTAAATGACTGTCGCAAACAAACCGATCGCAAACAAACACATCCCAATCATTCCATCAAGCCAAAATAAGCCAAAAGCGGAAAATTAGCAAATCTTCACAAAAGGTTTCATGTTGCTGAGAGCATTGCCAAGTCTTTCTGCAATACTTGTGGCAAGGTCACTCCCTGCATGACCGGCATCCCTCAGCTTCGCCCCTGACCATAAGCTCAAACAGCTCAAATAGCTGTCGACTTGATGTTTGCAAGACATCGCAATCATGGATGCTTCATGCACGCCGTCACTCAAGATTTTCAAGGCCACGATGTAAACTGACAAAGCCAAAAGGAGGTTCGCAAAAGCGCCCTGCAGTGTGTCAGACGGCGAAACTTTCAGCAACACCGCATAGGTGAAAAGCGCGGTAGCCAGAGCCACCCTTTGGCGCATCAGCCCCTCAAGCACAAGGCGTGCCTGAAATCTCTGCAAGATTAGACAACACTCGAGGTTGTCTCAACATTTCTTCCCGTTTTGCCTCATGCTGTTATGTTGCAGTTCTGTTGCCTTCCTTGTCGTTTTACCGGGATAAGACTAGCTACAAGAATTGTGGCGTACATTCGCGCGCAATGCATGCGTTTGTGCTGTGTGAAACTGTCAAACATGACGTCATGGCTCAGTCCATTGCAAGCTAGCACAGGTATGCACAGCTAGTATGTGGCATGGGCCAGGGTATGTATGAATGTACACGAAGGTGTTTGAGGCTTGCCGCGTATCGTTTTTGATCGTTTCTGTTATCGTCGTGCCTGGTCAACAGCGATTCCTATGCACAAAGAAAGATACTGCAACGCAATCTTCCTTGCTGTCTTTGCGGAGGAGACAAACCTGCGATGAAACACATATGAAGGGTTGTCGATTTTACTTTTCCAGGAAAACGTTATACTGCAAGCTTTTATGGGTCCGAAAGGCCTAAAGTGCGGTATGCTTTGCATGTACGGAGTGGTTCTGTTTACGCGCTCCTCCTTGGTGCTTTGAGCTACAGTATATGCTCATGGCACTCTAAAATGGGACTTGGTCACTGTCCAGAAAGGGCATGTGAATTTCCATCCTGCTGTACATCTCGAACTTCGCTTGGCGGTCGCCCTCTCTATTCAAGTCAAAACACCTTCGTTCAAATTGAAGGGTGTGTTGCTTGGCCCTTAGACATGACCTTACCGCTGGAGTATCATACTGAATTACCTGTTCCATGGCCTCGTCAGTGAACCATCCCGGTGTAGGCTGAGACAGGGTCGGATCACTCTCAGGCATCACATGGTTCTCCCGCTCTTGTGCTAGATCTTGTTCCATTGCTTTTGCCGCTCATCTTCGCTCTCCGGTTCCCTTACTTGTAGGTCACCAGCCCTCATGGTGATGATCTCACCTGTTGAGTCAAGTCGCACTTGTACCATGTCATCTGGCCCATGATCACTTCCATCACTCATTGTGTCATCCTCCACATTCACGCGCAAGCTGGCCTGAGCTGCATTGGCTTGACGAAGAGCTCTGACTTGTCCATCAAGCCTTCTCTTGTCAAACTCCTTGTTGGACTTTTGGATGTAGCCCCAATGCCTCCAACCATTCTCACCAACTTCATCTTCATCTTCATCGACGTAGCCTGAGGCCTTGATTAGTCCTCTGTGCACCCGCTGTACATACTTCTTCAGCTGTTCTAGCCCTTCTTGAGCTTGATGGCGATACAGTAGGCTCCAATCATCATGCCATCTACTTTGGTATCATCTATCGCGCTTTGAACCCTTGCCTCCATTCTCTCAAGCTTCTTCCAGAGCTTTTAATGCACAAGATCAATGTTCCAACCACAAGCAGGAACACGATGAAGACCCATGCCCACCAGTTGTCGTAGGTCACTGGCGTCTCGATGTTCACCTCCATTCTCTCCCCAGCCACGTGCTCGAGGCCTTCCAGCAGCAAGATGCGGTTCAGCAACTTCGCAAGCCTCTGGATTTTGCTCTTGCTGATGTTCATCTCCTCTAGGCATTGATGTTATCCTTGGCCGATTCTCTCACCATCAGCATTGTAGATCTGGCACCACTGTAGAATTAGATTCACCCGCGCCTTGGCCAATGGCTTCGTCCCCAGGTCTGCAACGTTGGCCACTGTTCCCACTGCCTTGACTTCCACGTCACCTCGAGCCGCCAGATCTTGAATCCGCAGCAGCTTTCCGGAAATGTGTCTCAGCTTGCCTGGGCCTGGGTGACGCCATCTGCTGCTCCACTGACCAGCGCATTCAGCTCTGCTTCTGCTGAACTCAAGGCTCAAGGAGACTGACTTCTGTCCACGGGAACTTGCCAGCACCACATGTCCATTCAACATGTGGATCGCTGCTGAGGTGGATCGGCGATGTCCCTTGGCTCCTGACCAATCACTGTCCGTGAGCGTCTCGAGCAACCATCTGGATGTTGCGCTCCTTGTTGAATGTCCATGACCTGGATCTGGGAATGGCAGCATTGTATTGTCCCATCTTGCCTTTCAGGTAGCCCACTAGTTTCCCCAACGGATTCCTCTAGTGGGACATGCCATTGATGTTGCTAACTCGCCACTGCAACACCTCCTGCTCTCGATCTGCAGGGTTGAAAGCACTGGGCCTGTAAATCAGCTTGGCCGGATCCCTCTTCAGAGCTCCTTGGTCCGCGGCCGAACTCCCTGTGGCTCCTCCTCCATTGCCACTGGCCGCTGCTGCCTGAGCTGCTTGCGCTGCAGCTGCGGCGGCTGCTATCACTGCCTGGGCTAGTCCAGGCATGTCCGATTGATCCATCGTGCCCTCAAGCTCCAGTAGGACCTCCTTCAACTCCAGCAAGTAGGGTCCTTCCTGACACCTCAACCAGGGAAGGACCGCTGCACCACCTGAAGATCACCTTCAAGTAGCCACAGTTCTATGGGTGGCTAGGCAAGGGGCGCTCTCACCCAAAGGTTGAAACCACCTGGAGCTCCAGTCGGCACAAAGGTGTGCCGACCTTCTCAGCTCCGCTACCATGCGAGCTTTTATGGATCCGAAAGGCCTAAAGTGCAGTATGCTTTGCATGTACGGAGTGGTTCTGTTTACGCACATATAAAGATTCCAGGGTGGATGGAGATTCCTTCTGGCAAATTGGACACGCGAAGACTACGTTTGTGAGTGGGAGTTTCCATACTCTCTGGCTTGATTATAGTGAATCATGGTGGTACGTAGTGGTCTTAGATTCTTAGACGGTCTTGGTACAAGTTACAAGTAGTTGAGTTCAATACCATTTGGTGGGCATACTAGTGGAGGCGGCAAGACAATTCCATCTCAAACCGTTACCATAACACTAATTAGTTGGACGCAATGCTCACGTTTGCAAGTTGTGCCCACATCACCCGCCTTGTCGATTGCAGATTCTGCACAGAAGTGGGCCCAAGAGAGACGAGCAATCGCCCGCAAGCTTGGCTTGACTGGTGGGGCATCCTCTATGTGTGATGAAACCGTGCTGCTTTTTAGCGAGATTGCACTGCTGCCAGGACCTCTCTCCAGTTCTCGCAAGAGCTTCTGCACATGATCCCAAGCATGCAAAAAGCTCTCGATGGGCTCACGTGTGCTCGCGGCCAAATCCACCGGCAACATTTGCTTTTCAATCAACACGGACAAAACTCCTCTCAAATTGGTGAGCACACTCCATTGTGACGGAGCTTGAGGGAAGTCATCGCTTGGCTGTACAGCTGTTCGGTCAAGTTGCTCCACCAAGTCTTGGTCTGCGTGCTCCAGCTGGTCTTTTTCTGTCATGATCAATGCAACTAGAGCTTTCTGAGAATCAGCGCCTTGGAAAGCCACCATCTTCACATCGCAGTCCTGGATTTGAGAGGTTAGATCTTGAACTTGACGTTCCAAAGATGCTATGAGTCGAGTGGTCTCTTCTGTGTCCTTCTCTGGCCGAAAGAATCTCACTTCCACGTTCAGGTCCACTCCTTCCGTCGATGTGAAATCGATCTTCAGCAAACCTTTGCCAGAATCGTGTTCCTTAATGTCTTTTGTGTAGTCCCCACCTTTGATTTCATATTTGGAGAACCATGCATCTCTGTAGTCAAGTGTCTCGCGGGCAGACTGCTTGCCCCATCCCCAGCCTCCACCAAACATGAAGAATATCCACCAACCTGAAGTAGGGTGGGATTTCTTTACTTCCTTGGTAGCAATCACTGTGGGAGCCTCTGACATCTTCAGTTGGTTCATCCTTTCTTCGGCAAGCCTTTTTTGCTGCGACAACTCGTCTCTGTTTTTCCACAGCGTGGATAGCATGTCACGTTGAACTGATTGCCAGTCGCTCTCGATCGCCTGCAACTTCCGTACGCGATCGGTCTTGGATTTCGGCCGAGGAGCGACACAGGGGTGTTGTTACAATCCATTCCATTACAATCCCAAATTCTGAGCATCAGAAGAGGAGAGCCAACATCGGAATTTGGTGTTCAATGTCCGACCTCCTTTTTGCCCTGCTATTTACTGCTGGATTGCAATTGCAAAAGGCATGAAAAAAGACCAAGGAAGGAGGAAGGAAGGAACTAGCGACTAGCGTTTCAAACATCTTGGGACAGCTCAGGACCTCAACACCAATAACAACTACTGGAAGCTGTTCAGCTTTATCGCTGGCAAGCCAGACATCCGAGCATGGCCCTTGCAGCCTTCTTTTTGAACCACGAAAGAAAACAGTCTGGAGTCCGATTCTTTAGGTCATCTATGGTCATCTATCATCTGCCGAACCAGTAAGATGTTGCAGTTTTGCACAAGGGAGGCGCTGCTGTATCTTCCTGTGCTCCGTTCAATGTCGTTTTTGGTTTCACAGCTTGTTCCTGCTCCAAGTGATTGCTGACTTATTTAGCTGGTGACGGGAGACGACGCGGAGACAAAAAGAACGCTGCAATGGCAACTACAAAACACCAGCGCGTGCGTGCAAATTTCGATTAATAGTGTACAGTCAAACAATGGCAAATACATGCAAATACAAGCACCACCTCTGAGTCCACCTCTGACCGCTGGAGAACCCTCTGGACACAAATATGCATCAATCCACCGATGCCTGTGATCACACGCTTTTCGATGCAACATTGGCTGTGTGTTAGATCTGTAATCTTGCTTGGTCTTGATGTTGCTCGAAAAGCATGCAATGCAACGCAACACAGCAAAAAAGAACCAAGGAGTGGGGAAGGAGGATGGAGGTGGCCTAAGCTGGAAGTTTTCGGGTGGAGGCCATCGCTATATAAGGCCATCCCTAGTAGGTTGGAGGCCATCGCTCTGGGGTTGGAGGCCATCGCTAGTAGGTTCCGTTTGCTTTTTCGTCCTGAATTCACGCATTTTGCAAATACAGCCATGAGCGAGCCCCAAATCTCCACACGTAATTGACGTCTGCACAATAGGATGTGCAACCCACTAATTCCGACTTTGGTGCAGTATTTCCCACCCCAAACCTGCAGATATTTCATGTCGAAGCCCGGCCATGCTCGGCCTGTAGCCTCTCTTTGTGCTTCTCTTTCAGACGTACAAGTTGCTGCAAATGGTCAGCCCTTTGTCTTAACATCTCTGTGTAGCTTTTGCCACCCAGTCGGCTGTCGGGCTCCGTGGCCAGCTTCGCAAACATCTGCAGCACCTCCAGACACTGGGTAAGATGTCGCGTTTAGAAGACAACCCGAGCCATTCAGCCTTTCAGTGGGTACTCAAAAGACTTAACACTCTGGTCTTTTTGTTGCTAGGGCTGCTAGGGAGTCTCAGTTCTGAATTGGTTGGACAAAGACCCAAAACAAACACCATGTACGGCAAGAACATGAACACATTGAAGCCATTGTCTACCCAAGCAATCAATCTTCTTGCTCTGTCTGCAACACCTTCAGGCAAACATGCAGTAAAGCCCTGAAATGCGTTGATAAGAAATGAATCACAACAAATCACCACAAACAAATTATTGACCGAACCCAGACTTCCGTATTTTGCTGACTGAGTACGCAGCCTCTAAGTTGCTGGTGGGTCGTGTAGCAACGATGTCAGTGAGCATCTCTTTTGTGATGGCCGCAGACTTCCCGATCATTTTCTGCACCATTAGTCGTTGGCTTTCAGACTGTGCCGGTGTATCTGGAAAGCACACGTGCACTCTTCCGTTTGCTTCTGCCAAAGTTTTCAAAAAGGTCAGAATAGCCACTCTCTCTTGTATCTGAGGATCATCAGCTCTACTCTGAGCATCAACTTGTCTATAATGCTGCTCCCATAGCTTCTTCTGCTCTGAAAGTTGCGTTCTTGCAATCTTAATAATGCTTTCAGCCTGGACCCTCTCCCCATCTTCATAGGCATTGGTGAAAAGGAAGATCATGGAGTCGTAAAAGTGCCGAGAAGCTTCTCCACTCCCTGTGATGGGAGCAAGTGACTTCGCAGTTGCACGCATACCAAATCCACGTTCCGAGACCAAGGATCTGAAATCCATGACCAGAATCACCTCGCTCCGGAAGAAAACAAGTTAAGGAAAAGTGAAGTCTCATGACAGGTTCCAGCGTTTTGACCCATGCCAGCCAAAAAGAAACATTTCAAAACTTTGGGCCCAAATGGCACATTTGATCTTGGGCAAGAGGGAGAAGCTTGTTGCCAAACTCCACTGTGTCCACATGCGATGTGTGTCCGTGCGATCTTCGTTCAGGCCAGCAGTGTCCAAGTAGCTGTATCCTCCATACCTTTCTTCTGCCACATACAAGCCAATGTTCAACGTTTTGGAGGTATAGCCGTCCCCCGTCTGTGGTCTGCGGTTGTCGGATTGCACACATCTGTAAACCTTCTTCAGCCTGCCATCCACCTGATCAAATCTAAGGTTGGCAAACTGAACCGTTTCAATGGTCCAGTGTGTCTATTCAAGTCTTGCATTGACACAACGCATCTTGGTGTGCTTTGAGCTCCGTCTTCCTGTGTTTGTCGGTGGTGTGATTGCATTTGATATGCTTGCACAGTGGTTGCTGTAGAAGGTGGGTTGGGCGTCTTTTGGTTGCCGTTTGTGGTGGGTCTTGCGCATGTCTTTGGATAGTGATAGTGTTTTCTGCAAAAGATGTTCTGGAAATGGTGGTGCGGGATGTCTCAAAAGATGTGGCTGTGTATATCCATATCCACGTGTGAGGATTTATTCGCCGGCTGCAGCAGTATAGGAGTTCGAAGAGCTGCACAGAGCTGCAATGTCTTTAAGCGTTTAGCTAACACAGGCATGTCAGTTAGAATTAGTAGCATTTCACGGCAACAAAGCCTCTCCGACCGTTAGTTGCACATTTTTGTTCAAGAACCCACCATTTTGCTGTAGAAAGAAAAAATAGAAGAAGAGAGAGATAGGGGGACAAAAAGGGAGTATGAACTATCCACCCGTTGATACAAAGAGTTTGCCAAGCAAGTCGCCCGAGCGGTAGCACAAATGCATAAGTCGGCCTCCACCAACAAAACCATATTTTGTCCTAGCTTGATTGTGGAGAACACAGTGCAAATAACAACAAGGTCCAGTCCCATCCACGAACCATATATATCATATATATATACATAGAGCCATATACATCTGTTGTATATATATATGGGTGCGGCCAGAAACCCTGGTATGGATCGTTCTGCGCTGCAGCGAGAGTGATCCAAGCCCTATGGATCAGAGCGATCCAAGCCCTATGGATCACACGGGTGGCTCACTTGATCCAAGCACTTGATCCAAACTTCATCCACAAGTGAGCCCTGGCACAGTGGACTCAAAGAGCTGTGCGTGAATGTGTGCATGTTTTTGCTCGCCTTTGTCATGCCATGTGTCTAGTTTGCCCATGTCACAAGAATGCATGGAATGCCATGCAATGCAAAAAGCCTAATCCAGGAAAGTCAAGTTCACAACTAGGTGACAGTTTCAATATAATATACTGGCTTCCGGTAAACCTTTTGTTGGGCTCATGCATTTCCAGGTTCTTGGGTCCACCAAGAGTAGACAGGCAGCTGGATTGAGTTCACCACTCAATTTTCGGCTATCAACAGTTTTCCAATTATATAGTGGACTCCGGTAAGTTGAAAGTGCCCGCCCTGACACAGTGGACTCAAAGAGCTGTGTGTGAGTGCGAACGGGCGAAGCCTTTGGGAAAGGCGCTTCGAGAGCAGTCTCCCGACCCCAAGCAAGGCCTTCATCAGAGCAGGAGGTTGGACGCTCTAAGTTGGTTTTGTGAAAAGACGGAACGCAGGCTCCAAAAGCAAAATCTCGAAAATGTTTAGCGGAAGCCGCTAAATTGAAAAGTGAAATGGTGGGTGTCCCTGTGCATCCCTGTCCCTCAGGAATCAAACCACCAAAGGTTTACTTAACAAGCCTCGAAGAGAATAGCTTTATCCATTAGACCAAGGGAGCTTTGGATGGAGGGTGGCCTCTGAAATCGACCCCACGCCAAGAGAGAAAGAACAAAAAACAAATTAGCGGAAGCCACTAATTGCAGGATCGACTGGTGGGCTGGATTCACAAAGTGGCTTGTGCTTGTCTCCTGGTTCTAGGACGGGTTGTTTTGGATGCCCCGAATGTCTAGAGGCTCGCCCGTTGTTGTCTTCTGCTTGCTCGTCTTCTTCTTCTTGTTATTTTCCTTTTCTGTTTTTGTTTCTTCTTCATTTTCCTCTTCTTCTTCTTGCTTAATTCTTTCATCTTGTTCTTGGTCTGTCCTGTTTTCTGCTTCTTTTTCTTCTCTTCCTTCTCCTTCTCCTTCTTCTGCCTCTTTGCTTCGTCCTCCTTCTTCCTGTCCTCTTTCTGTTTTGTCTTTTTCCTGCTTGCTCTTCTTCTTCTTCTTCTACTTCTGCCTTCGTTTTTTTGCTCCATTGTCCATGGACCACCTCCAGGAAAACCAAACCTATGATCCAAGGGCTTGGATCACACACCCACCTTTGATCCATACCCCATGGATCGGGGTATGGATCGTGTGTGGGTTTTGGTGTGTGATCAAAGCCTTATACAATATATATTCAAAAGCTGGTCCTACGCTTGGGTGCAGGACATGGTGCGAAAGGTGGTGCGGGGTCAGGGTCAAAAATTTGCTGACCTGGTGCGCGGTCAGAGTCAAAAATTAGCTGATTTGGTGCGCGGCCAGGGGTAAAAGTTTGTAAAGTTGGTGCGTGGCAAGGGTCAAAAGTTCCCGAATTTGGTGTACGGCCAGGATCAGAAATCAGCTAAAATGGTGCGCGGCCAGGGTTGGACATTAGGCTGAACATGAGACAAAGAATTTTAATTCACAAAGTAAGGATTGCAAGTGTCTTTGTTCCTGGTTCCATCATACAATGATACTTGACATACTAAAAAATGTTTTTTGTTTAAGGGCCCGGGGTATGGGAAAGCTGAGAGGCGACTAGACGGGGAGCTGACCCGGCACTAGCAGGTCGGTAG